TCAGAGACGAAGGGAGTGGGAGAGAGAGAAACATCAATGATGAGAATCATTGATCTGCTGCCTCATGCACAACCCATGCTGGGGCAGGCATGTGCCCTGACCGGGAGTCGAACCGGTGGCCTTTTGGTTCCTGGCTTCCCACTCAGCTGCGGAACTGCACGCCACCTGGGCAGGGACACAGATTTTAAAGGTACAGCCCAGTGGGATCTAACAAACGAATATACCCCAGTCACTGTGCACAGTCAAACCCTGGAGCATGTTCCTCAGCACAGAAAGTGTCCTCGTCCACCTTCGTGGTCAGTCCGTCCCCTCCAGGAGGCAGTCCCTTATGTCTTGTTATTCCTCTCATCGTGGTCTGTGGTTCTGGATTAGATTTTCCTGCTCTGTGTGGCATCAAGCAGTGGGTCCTCTTCTGTGTCCGGCTACTGTAGCTCAAGATGAGGTCTTTGAGAGTCATGCAGAACGTGACTCCTCTTACCTACCAAACAGCGTTTCCCTGTAGGAGTCTACCGCGGTTGGATCATCAATAAACTTGGTGGTGGTCATTCCAGTTGTTCCCAGTTTGGGGCCCTTGGTTGTCTTTTCATCAATGACGAGAGGCCTGGTGCACACGTTTGTGCACAGGTGGGGTCCGGCCGCGGGGAGGGGCTGTGGGGTGGTTAGCCGGCCAGCCCTGCCTCCTGGTCAGACTCCCTGTTGAGGGGACAATGTTCATATTAGCCTTTTATTATATAGGATTGGCAGAAGCTCTTGTCTGTTCTAGGTAACAAGTTCCTTGTCAGAAATAGGCTTGGCAAACGTTTCTCCCCGTCTGTGGCTCGTCTTCTCATTTTTTAAGTGGTGTTGATTGATACGCAGAAAATGTTAACTTTAATTATGTCCAATATATGTCTTCTTATGATGAGTGCTTTCTATGTCCTGTCAAAGAAATCTCTGCCAACATCCAGATCATGCACATACTCTCCTGTTTTCTTTCAGAAAACAGTGAAGTGTTATAGTTCCCAATTGTACATTAAGGTCCTCTGTCTCCATCTAATTTCCGCGTACAATGTGAGGTTGAGGTTAAGGTATTGTTGTTCTTTAAATATGGATATCCAGTTGTTATATCGTCATTTGTGGCAAAAACTTTTCTTAACACATTATGTGTGTGAGTGAGTGTGTGTAGGTGTGTGCATGTATGTGCATGTATGTGTGTGTGTGTGCCTTTGTTCAAAATCAATTGACAATGCATATGTGGATCTATTTCAGTACTTTTATTCTTTTTCATTGATTTGTTTGTCTATTTTATAAATGTTTTACTTGATTGTGGTTTTATAGTAAGTCTTCAGAGCAGGTGTTATAAGTCTCCAAAAGTTTCAGGTTATTTTGACAGTTGATACATTTTCATGTACATTTTGTAATCAGTCGTTAATTTCTACTAAAAGCCTCCTGGAATTTTGATTGGGATTATAGTGAATCTATAGATTAAGTGGGGGAGACTTGATACTTTAGCAATATTAGTTTTTCCAATCCAAGAGCGTGTTATATGTTGTAAGTTTTTATTTAATATCTTTCTGCAACACGTAATAGCTGTTAGAATTTAAGTTTTATAAATCCTTTTTAAAATTTATTTTTGAGTAGTTTATGTTTTTCCCCATATTATAAGTGAATGGCTTTTTAATTTTACTTTGTTATCACTTGCTGGTAAAAATAGAAATGTGGTTAAAATTTGTACATTAACCTTGATTCCTGTGACTTTGCTAAACTCACTTTCCAGTTCCTCTAGTTATTTGGTGGTGGTTGGGCGGAGGACGGGGAGGATATGTGTTTCTTAAGATGTTTTATGTATATATAATCCTGTCATTTGCTCTTTGGTTTGTAACTTGTACGCTTTTTTATTTCTCAGATTGTTCACTAGCGGGGACCCCCAGTGCGCTGTTGAACAGAGGTGGGAAGAAGGCACTTTCTCCTGGACCCAGGAGCCTTCCATCTTTCTCCACGAACGTGTCATTGACTGCTGGCGTTTGTATATGCTCATCACCAGGCTGATGACATTCCTCTTCCTGGCTCATTTTTGGAATTTGTTTCATGAATGGGCGTGAAATATCGTCAAAAATGTTTTTGCATCATTTGAGATGCTGTTGTTTTCTCTTTGATTCTGTTAATGTGATGAATTACAAATATTGATTTTATAATGTGAAACACATCTTGCAATCCCGGCATAAGCTCCATTTGTAAATGGCATTTATCCTTTTCATATAACACCAAATTAGTGTTTTAGCAAAACATTGAGCACTTTATATATATATATATTCATGCAGGGTATTGGTCAATAATTTTCTTTTCTTATAATGTCTTTTTCAGGTTTTGGTATCAGGTTATGCTGATTCTAGTTTTTTTCCTTAAAACTTGGATTAAATTTATGACTAAAGCCTTCGATACCTGGGGTTTTCTTTGTTGTGAGTGTTTTAATTATGAATTCAATTCTGAAAATACATATTGAGCTATTTGAATTTTTCTATTTCTTCCTGTATAATTTTGATAAGATATACTTTTCAAGGAATTTGTCCATTTGCTCTAAGCTGGTGAACTTACAGGTAAAAAAAATCATTAATGTTTTTGTCTTCTTGGGAAATTGAATCCCTTTTCATTAGGTAATAGCCCTTTATCACTGTGTAAAATTGTCTGGTCAACTTTAATTTTAATAAAGCTATGTCAGCTTTCTTTTAAATAAGTGGCTGTAAGGCGTATCTTTTTTCATCCTTTTATTTTTAACCAATCTATGCTTTCACATTTAAAGTGGTTTTTCTGTAGGTTGCCTATAGTTGGGTCTTGCTTTTTTATCTAATCTAACAATCTATGTTCGATTTAGTGTGGTTTATATTTAATGTGATTATTGATATGGTTGAATTAATATCTACCATCTAAACAGCTGTTTTCCATTTGTTCCATTTGTGCTTTATTTTCTCCCCTTTTTGATCAATTGAAATATTTAATGACTTAATGTTATTTCCACTATTGAATTATCATGTATACTTCTTTTGAAAAAAAAAATGTAGTAGTTTCCTTAATATTCACCACATACATCTTATTTAATCAAAATCTACTTTTAAATAATACTCTGTCTCAGGTCTAATGCAAGGATAGTAATATATCCTTTATTTCTCCCTCCTAATCTTTTGCTATTGTTGCTATAAATATACAAAACTGCTATTTTGCTTTAGATAGATATCTTTCAAACCAATTAAAAATAATAAAAAATGAATTTTAAACACTGTTTACTCTTCATTATTCCTGTCCAGTGCCCTTAATTTCCGAGTGTAGATTCAGATCTCAGTCTGCTGTTACATTCCTTACATTCCTTCTGCCTGAAGGTATTTGTTTTACCGTGACTTGTAGTGTGGGTCTACTGATGGTGAATCATTCAGATTTGTTTTTTTTTTGTTTTTGTTTTTGGGTCTTCCTTTTGAAAGATATTTTTGCTGGGTATGGAATTCGGACTTGACAGGTTTTTGTTATTACTCAGCCACAGAGATATCATTTCATTATCCTCTGCCTTGCATAGTTTCTCATGAGAAGTCTATTGTCATTCGTATGGCTAATTATGATTCCTCTCCATGGAATGTGTTTTCTCTCCACCGCCTTCATCCTTTCCTCTTTGTCTCTGGTTTTCAGGGTGCTGTGAATATTATGTGTCTGTGGTGTGAGGGTCCTTTTGGGGGGGGGTCATTTATTCTGCTTGATGTTCTTCTAGTGTCTTGGAACTTGCTTTGTACCTATCATTTCATTTTTGAAAATCCTGTCTGTTATCTACTCCTATCTTTCCTCTCTGGAATGCCAGTTACACGTAGGTTAGATCTTTTGGTTTTGTCCCATGTCTCTCAGATGCTCAGTTTTGTTTTTCCTTCCACACTTCATCCATCCCTTCTACTCAGTAACCGATGCCAGAACTGTTATAAACCCCAGAGATATAGGTGATGGTCTGACAAGACATTTTGTTATTGTTGTGTCCTCTTAATTCTCCAAATCCTGTGTGTGTATCCCTTTAAATGATTGTTTCCTGCCATTCTAGTGACCTTGAAAGGGACTGGAAGGAGATGCGTGTGTGCAATCTGCCACCTTTACCTGGAAATCAAGTTTGAATTTTGTTAAATCTTAAGTGGTTAAACAAGACTAACTTAAGTGGAGATAAGGGCTAAATTTTATATTATTTTAGAAATTAACTAGTCTATTATATCTTACTTTCCCAATTTAATGGACTTCTGTATTCTCAGAAACAGTAAAAAAAAATCCACAATAATAATAATAGCTACATTTATTGCACACTTATCATGTGCCAGTGTTGTAAATGCTGCTCTGTATTACCTAATTTAATTCTCACAACAACTTTACAGTGTAAACACGCTCATTATCCTTGTTGTTACGATGAGCATAAACACTGAGCCAAAGGGATTAAGTCATTTGTCCAATGACACAGAAAGAGAAGGTGACAGACTTGGCTTTTACCTACTGTGTTCTAACTGCCTCCAACCAATGGGAAGAGAGTGGATTCTAGGTAATTTCTTTGCTGTCCTTGTATTACTGTTACCTCTCCAAGAATCTTTCTGCATTAGTCAGCAAACACATATTCAATGCCTGTTATGTGCCCAACATTATTTTGTTTACAAACACAGTAAACAAATAATTGGGTGGCAGGCACTTTCTCTCTCTTCCCAAGAGAAGATTTCCACCTCCCCCCCAAAACTTCTGAAAATAAATTTTATGGAATAGGATGATATCACCATTCAAAGGAAAGTTTGATTCGATCTGGGTGCTCAGAAACTGTGAAAAACATTTAAAAAAAATAATGATGTTATTCGAGAGTTTGAGTAGCTTCTGGATTACCCATGCTGCTTTTCACCTCTTCCATACCCCTCTCTCTCTCTCTCTCTCTCTCTCTCTCTCTCTCTCTCTCTCTCTCTCTCTCTCTCTCGCATCCTACTTCTTAGCTATTGTACTGCTTATACATATTTCTTCCACAGAGCAAAATAAGAGGATTATTTATACCGTAAGCTCAAAAGATCTGTTCAGAGATTTCAGGCTGTGAGGCCATTTGGGTCCTAAAGCATCTTGACCCAACGGGGAAACCTACGAAGAGGTGTGCGCATGCTCCCTCTGTCTCCCTCTCTGGCTTGAGGAGTTGTGAGTGACATTGTGTGGGTAGTGGAGTGTGTGGGATGAGGGGAGATGGAATGGCGAATACCCACTTGTAGGGAGTTGCCCTCTACCAAGGATTTGCCGGCATGCTGACGGGAACGTGGGCCGGCCCTGTCAGTGGAGGGTGAGACAATGGGATGTGACTCAGTAACGAGCTCTCATTTGTCAGGAGTCAGCTTGCTGATATGGGCTAAGGATAAGGTGTTCGGTAATTCTTACAAAAATTGGACGTAACCACATCATTTCCACTGTGGTTTCTCTCACAGTTTCTTTCATAGCTGTGTTAATTCCACCCAATTGTACGAGGGAGCCTGAAATGCATAGCATCGTTTCTGTTTTATTAGGTGAGTAAGTACATCCTGAGACGTGAGATGGCCATGTCCAAGGTCACGGCAGCTACTGTGACCTTGAACCCAAGTCCTCACTCTGGACTTATCTTCCTCTCCCCTCACCCTCCATGAAGCTCAGCAGCCTGTTTGTTGTACAGAATCCATTTATGTTGACTACTAACTGTCTTTGCCCACATGCTAGACTCTTAAGAATTTGTATCTATAAGATAATTTACTAATGGGTCGCAGTGGCTAAAAGAGGCAGCCTGTTTTGTAAATTAAGCCTTTTGTCCCCTTTTTGTCCAACAGGAAGCGGAGTTGGTCACTCGGATGGATGCACAGACTCTCCTGACGTCAGTGAGGCAGCCTCCACGCTCTGGATTAACAGACTCCGAGTCTTCCAGACGCTAGTTGTCCAGAGGAGGCCAGGGCTCCTGCGGAAGCTCCAGGTTGTACCTGTTTCAACCAGCCCCTCCAGGAGAGTCCGACTCCACTCAGCAGGAGGTATCGGGACCCACAGCGGGAGGTGAGGGGTGGGGTTGGGGGGATGAGGTGGAGGGAGGGGGGACTGGAAGGCGCGGCCTCCCCAGCAGGTGAGGTAGTGACTTCCTTTTCATCTCATTTACACTCCAGGTGCTGCCTGGGCTGGATGCTGCTGCCTCTGACGCATGTGCTCACAGTCTTCGTTTTGAATGGAGAGAAGGGGAAATATGGCTTCCTCCTGTAGCTGCAGAGGAAACCTGCCCAATTCCCATCAAGCCACGGGGCGCTGGGGGTTCTTCTTATCGCTGCAGAGCCCGTCCCATCCTGACTGCTTTGAGGATTTCCCCAGGCATGTGCCCCTGCTGACTCCTTAGAACCTGAATTTCCCTCCGGCCTGGCAGAGCGGGGAGAAGCCAGCTCTTTGCCACCCAAAGTGTCTGGCGTTATCTGTCTGTGCTCCTGTAAGTGGGTGGACTCAGGGGAGGGAGAGCAAGAGAGAAGTGATGGCTGTTGACTTCCTGCCCCGGCCCTGGCCCCGTGCAGGATGCTGTGAGTGCTGCCAGCCTTTGGCCAGGTTTGGCTTTTACATCACAGGCGAAGCCGCGCTCAGAAGCCGGTGGACGGTGTGTCTGAGAATCACCGGCCAGTGGACATCAGAGCGGCGCCAGGACCCACGTTCCTCTCACATGGAGACCTGCGTCCTCTCCCTGGAGTGTAAACAGCCAGGCGGTGAGCTTTTAATCCCTCAGGGCCTCTGGCATGTCCCTCCCAACCTCTGAACCGCGCTCCCTCCTGCACAAACGTTCGCCGGGACCCTTTACTGCTCAGAGCTGCTCTCCTTAGACTCATTTTGGTCATCTCACCCAGATTTGTTTTTACTGAGTCTTGACGCCTGAGGCACTATAAACCTGCGTGTTTGTTTAAACTCCATCCGAACACGCTTGTGTTTAAGTCAGAATATTGTCGCCATGACATCTGGAGGCGCCTCCTCCCTGGCTACAGGCTCTTTTTATTTATTTATTTATTTTATTTTTTTTGTGAGGCTCACACGTTATGGCAAGGACTTTAGAAGGACGTAGAATGCCATGAAGATGCCGGAACCAGCGTGGCTCAGTGGATAGAGCGTGAGCCTGCAGACTGGAGGGTCCCAGGTTCGATTCCGGTCAAGGGCATGTACCTTAGTGGCGGGCACATCCCCAGTAGGGGGTGTGCAGGAGGCAGCTGATGGATGTTTCTCTCTCATCGATGTTTCTAACTCTCTATCCCTCTCCTTTCCTCTCTATGAAAAATCAATAAAATGTATTAAAAAAAGAATGCCATGGAGAGGGGGCGGGTTTATGTGTGAAGAGGGGAGAACGAGGGCCATCTTAAAGGCACAGGCCCGTGGGTCCACAGGCCTTTTCAGCTGCCATCTCTGTGGCTGTAGAACCGTACAACCGTCTCCTCCAGGGGTGCCCCCTGCCAGCCACGGGGCCTCGCCAGAACAGGACTAAACCGCCCTACAGACCCACAGCTCACCGGGCCACGCTGGTGGGTGGTCCCAGGCTGGTCCGGCTGGTCTGGACCGGTGGAGGGCAGCCACGCCCTCCCTGGCAGAGGTGGGCAGAGGGCCTGCCCCGCCTGCATCCTCTGACTTCCGGTGGGACTGGCCCACGAGGACCAGGGCCGCTTCAGTGTAACAGTATTAATTACCGAGTCACTCTAAAACACGCGTGATGTATGTGCGCCTTTATTCCCTGGGAACGGGATAGAGATTAAATACTTAATGAATCCGTTTCTCATACCCAGGGTCCGTTCGCCCCGCGCCTCACTCTGTCCCGCTCCCTCCTGCTTCTCGGGAGAAATGGCGCTATCTTTATTATGTAATCAGCGATCTATCATTCCTCCTAAGCAGGATCTAATTTTAGCCGCATGATGGATGGCCCGGGCCTGCGTCCCGCTGCCCTCCCCGGGGAGGAAGATGCATCAGACCCACTCAGGTGTGTGTCATCTCTCTCCCTGGGAGCTTCCGGCTCCCCGAGGGGCGGCCAGGCTTTTTCTGGCCGGAAGCCCCAGGCTCTGCCCCCGGGCCCGCCCTGCGTGGACGGCGTTAGGAGGCGGCCCCGCGGGAGCAGTGACCAGGTGTGCGGGCGCCAGGCGGGGAGCTGTGTGGCCCTCCTAGGCCTGGGTTTGTGGAAGCCGCTAGAAAATGACCAGCTGGGCTTTTTCCTCGTCATTGACGCAGGATCTGCTTTTGTACGACTGCACTCAAGCCCCCCCCCCACCGTCTCCCATCACCACCACCACCCACCCCCTTCCCAGTTTTGTCTTTCCCGGAGAAGCGGGAATCGTCCTCGTTGACCGGGAGCATGAGGAAGTGGAGGCCTTGTTTTCCTTGAGCTCCCGAGAAGGAAATGTCCTTTGCTGGGACGCGACCTCCAAGTGGCCCCGCTGCTCCTGCACCTCTGCAGAGCCCGGTGTCTCCAGGGCACGTTGACCTCCAACACCAGTGTGAGCTCATCTTTAACTGATCGGTGGGAGCGTCAGAACAGTGCCGTATCCACCTGTCAGACGTGAACATGGAGGCTCAGAGAGATGAGACCACCTGCTCCAGTTCTGGGCCGTGGCCTGGTAAGGAAGGAAGCCTAGCACCCCACACCGGCCCCCTGTCTTTGCTGAACTTCAAAGGGTGCCTGTATACGATGGAGACACTGTGAGAAGTGTTGGGTTTTGCAACAATTATACGTGTGTGTGTGTGTGTGTGTGTATGCAGGTGTGTATATATATTATATAATTAACACCCTCAATTGTTCATTTTCCCTTCCTGTCTAACTTTTTCACTTCACACACACACACACACACACACACACACACACACACAAGCCTACTATGCAAAGTGTCCCTTTGGGAGTTTGACCTACTGGAAGTTCGATCGCTCACTATGACGTGTGCTGATCACCAGGGGGTGGTGCGGAATGAAGGAAGAATCTGGCTGACAGCCGGCATCCGGGGAAGGGAGGCCCCAGCCAACAGGCACAGCCATTAAGGACCTTACCCGTGCACAAATTTCATGCACTGGGCCTCTAGTACATATATATGTATGAAGCTCTGAAATTCTTTGTGCAACTATTACGTTGGTTGATTTTAAGATGTACTTTTTTCTTGGATTTGTATCTCTGAAACTGTGATACATCTTGTAATCAATGGGGTACCATAATCTAATTGGCAGTGGTTGTTTTTTTTCTTAGTGGTTATAGCAGGTTGATTCTTAAAATGTGCCGAATCCTCGCCCCTCTCGGTCTGCATGCTCTGTGCGATGTCACTTTGCGACTCCTCCCATCCAGCGGTCAAGTCCATTTCTCCATGCTTTGTATTTATTAAAATCTGTATTTATTGCTGTAGAGGACGCTGTGGGTGCCCGACTCATTCCCTTTTGCCCTGACCGCCTCAGCCTGCCTGACTTCTAAGTGCACCTGCACTTCCCTGCCCGAAGGCTGTCTCTGGCTGCCAGAGCCCGTTCTGCCTGCTGTGATGGCTTAAAAATATGTTTGCAGAGACTTTGACATTCCTCCCTCCTCTCCTCTTGAATGGAAGCCAGACTTCATGACTTGACTTGCTTCTGTCACCGGGATGTGGTGGAAACGACGATGGGACTTTCAGAACCAGGACATGAAAGGCATCGTGGCCTGCTGTCTCTCAGACCACTCACCTTGGGGGCAAGCCCTGTGCCTGAGAGGACCCTCTGGCGGTCACGTGGAGAGGGGGGTCTGCCTGGGAAGAAACTGAGGCCTCCAGCCATAGCTTGTGTTGACGGGCCAGCCACGCGAGCGAGCCATCCTAGGAGCAGGTCTCCCGGCTTCCGTCTTTAGATAACAGAAGCCCTGCCAATTCTTAACCGTAACCTTATGAGGAACCGTAAGCCAGAAGCAAGTAGCTGAGCTATTCCAAAATCCCTGACCCTTACAGGCAATATGAGATAATAAATATTGTATTAGGCCATGACGCTTTGGGATAATTTATTGCACGTCTATGTATAAATAAACCCATCCCCATGGCAGGCTGGAGACGTTGGTGGATTACCTCTTGGAAGCATCCCTGAACCCGTGACACGCAGGAGCTTGTATAAATACCACAGCTTCCTCAGCCCCCCCCCCCGCCCCGGTCCCCCCGCGGCAGGGCCGAACTCCTGGGGTTTCTCCAGGGGCACGGAGTCCCAGGTTCTCAGAATGGCACCTGGGCTGGTAATGCCCCATGGCCCTGGCTTCCCTGCCGCACTTCCTCACTTCTTGTTGGTGTTTCCTTCCACATGAGCTGCTCCCAAAACCCTGTCTCAGAATCTCCTTTTTAAAAATATATATATTTTATTGATTTTAACAGAGAAGAAGGAGAGGGATGGAGAGCTAGAAACATCGATGAGAGAGGAACATTGACCAACTGCCTCCTGCATACTGCGCACTGGGGATGTGCCCGCAACCAGTGTACATGCCCTTGACCGGAATCGAACCTGGGACCTTTCAGTCTGCAGACTGATGATGCTCTATCCACTGAGCCAAACCAGTTTTGACCAGAATCTCCTTTTTAAAGCAAGCGGGGGATGAGAACCAGGTCAGTTCCATGCAGTCATCTGCCAGGTCCTGTGCATTCCTCATCAAGTTTTCTTTCCAACCCAAGCTGATGAAAAGCAATGCAAAACCACAACACTCCCGCTTTGCATGTAGGTAAATATGAATGAAAACATCTCCTCTACCTGGTGTTTGACAGTTTCAAACTTGAAAGCAATACACTGAGTGGCCAGATTATTCTGATCTCTGAATCCATAATAATCTATTAATAATCTAACAATATATATATATATTAGAGGCCCAGTGCATGAATTCGTGCATGGGTGGGGTTCAGTCAGCCTGACCAGGGGGAGGGGTCATGGCGGTTGGCCAGCCTGCCTGCTGGTCGAACTCCTGGTCGAGGAGACAATTTGCATATTAGCCTTTTACAATATTATGTAGGATATACACTGAGTGGCCAGATTATTATGCGTTCAGAGATCATCATCATCTGGCCACTCCGTGTGTATACTCTAGTGGCAGCAGTAAAGAGGATACCCGAAGTGACAGTAGTAATGGGGAAGTGGAATGAAAACACCGTTGTTTATTCTTGCAGCAAAACCTACCCTATCCTGACTAATAGTGTGCATTGAAAGTCAAAATATTTTTTCCTTGAAGGGAGGAAAACACACACACACATAAAAACACCTAAAGCCAGACCTTAAAACTCACTGGGTCTCACTTACAAATACTCCTGTGCAACCTGCTTATGTGTTTTTCCATCTCACAGAATGTT